TATAGTTTATGGAACATAAGTACTATTTTACTAAGTTCAGGTTTTACTACAGTACAAACGCATAAACTATGTTAGGTATAGTTTATGGAACATATATACAATCATTCATTACAAAGGATTTTCAGTTATTCTACACGTAACCGTCAGTATAGCTTTGTGAGACTCACTTCAAGTACTTACCTAAGTACCAACCAAGCCCTGAAATTATAACCAGAGTCTCCTGGAGGCAGAGCGTGAATTTGTGTATAGATCTATACGAGAATGACAATCCCGCACCTTAACTGTTAGCTACAGTTAGGCCGGCGGGCTTGGGGTGACAATTGTCATAATGATTCCGACGCCTGAAGAACGTCGTTTCAGGCCATCTTAGGTCATCAAGTATGGTTATAATAACTCACAATTTGGTATTGAATATTACGATTAGTGTATGAATATATAAACAACTTCAAGTAATTTTTATTAAATATTAAAACTACGATATACTACCTTTCGGAGAAACATTCATTATCACTTAGTTTTATTTAACATTGAAACTATGATATACTATCACTGAGTACATTAACACTTACGTATTTTTGGCTTTATGGTATTAAGACTACAACACATTATAACAGAAAATATAGGATTTTCTGGGAAAACCTACTTACATTTTCAAGGAACAAATGACAGATTTCAACTTCAAACATGCTTATGAACTCACCAACTTAAATGTTGATACACTTTCAAAATCACTTGTATTCTCAGGGAACCAGTAGACAGGTACACCCACAGGTTTTGAGAAGACGGAGCTTTGTAGAGTCGCGTCTTTTATACTTTTGCTATACACTTTTGATGTCATACAAACTATGTATTGAACAAATGTAAAAACTATACTTTATCAATGTAATGGTTGTGATTACTTTGATTACTATTATATAATTGTTGCGATACTGTACATGACATCCTCCGCCCCCGAACGTTTTCGCCGTTCCGGTTTGGGGGTGTGACACAACCCATGAAAATATGAATCAAGTCACCATCTTTTGTATTAGAAAATGGAATACTTTACAAAAGGGGATACCTTGCACCTCAGTTAAGGTGTGTAAATGGCAAAGAAGCGGAATATCTTATAAATGAGATGCATGAAGGAATAGCATGGGCACACGAAGGAGCAAGGACAGTGGTACAAAAAATATCAAGATTAGGATACTATTGGCCGACCATGTATCAAGATACGAAATCCACTTTATAAGTATGAAAAATGCCAAAAGCATGCGCCCATACCACAAAAAGCAGCAACACCGATAATCGTCATATGTAGCCCCTGGCTCTTTGCACAATGAGGCACATACATCGTGGGACCATTCCCAGAAGCGACCGAAAAAGTAAGATTTTTAGTGGTAGCAATAGACTATTTCACGAAATGGGTAGAAGCAAAACTGTTAGCCACAATAACTTGTCACAACATCATCAAATTCTTTTGGAAACAAATCATATGTTGATTTAGAATCCCACATACACTTATCTAAGATAATGAAACCCAAATTACAAACAATCCATTCCGAGAGTGGTGCGGAGATCTACACATAAATCAGAGGTTCACATCTATAGCACATCCAAATGCAAACGACCTATAGCAACCCGTTATTTTCAAATCAATAAAAGTCAACAAAAGTCAATAAAAGTCAAACCCTCTAAATAAAAATCAAGTTTTATTTATTTTGCTACGTTTATAAGGGTTAAATATTGATTTAGTATATAGAACTAATTTTATTATATAAGTATTATAAAGTTTGGGATAAAAACCCACCCAACCGAGAACCTCGCATAAGGTCCTACCCTCGGACCGAAAACCCTTCTTCAGACCGCAAACCCTTTCTCGGTTGGAGCTTGGACCGAAATTAAGGTGATTTCGGTTGGACTTTTCGGCCGAAAACCCTCCTTATATATATGGTTTCACCTACAAACATACTTCATTTATCACTTTCCAAAACAAAAACACACTCATTTTGCTCTCAAGTATCATACAAGAATCTTCATATCTTCAAGCAAAATCCTTCAAATCTTCATAATTTTCACCAAGAACACCAAGAACAATCTTCAAATCTTCAAACTGATCGAAAACTGCTTGGACCGAGAACTAACTCCTGACCGAGAACACCTTAAGATCGAGAACTTGGTTCTCGGTTGAGGTTTTAAGACCGAAATCAAGGGATTTTGCTATAGTTTTATATATTAAACAAGCAATGTTTTGAACACAATGTAAATACTATGTTATCAATACAATGGTTGTTGTTACTTTGATTACTATTATACATTTGTTGTGATACTGTACATGACGTCATTCGCCCCCGAACGTTTCCGTCGTTCCGGTTTGGGGGTGTGACAGATTGATATCAGAGCATTGTTTATAGTGAACTAAGTGTATCAACCCATAAAGATATACAACTATAAACACAATGGGATAAAAACACTCTGACCAAGAGTTATACTTTTAAAATATAACAGTATTTTTATAAAAGTATACATACATGCATATATATATATATATATATATATATTATATATATATACCAGAACAAGTATCACAAGAAGAACAAAACAAAAGTATTTAGATGTTGGACACTACAGTCAAACCTAGACACTTATGTAATCATATCTGGGATAAATATAGCATGATCAACAATATTTATTTGAGATACGACCAACATGTGTTTGGGAGTGATAGTGGTGTTGCAACAAGTCTAAAACTTACAAACTCTATATACAAAGGAATACTAGAACCAAACATAAAGTTAAAATACTACAGGAGTATTTTAGGCACTATAACTAACTTATGTGAAAACTAAAAGACCCTTACTGGTAGATTTATAATTACTGAGTGTATACGTTAAGGTTATATATAATTAAGATTTATAGGCTTAGAATTTGTGATTTTCGCTCTACTTCATGTTCCTTGTTTGGTTGTGGTCTTAGAGTAGGATTACTTATTCGAAGGTCTATTTGATCTTGGTTATGTATAATCTGTATACACTACGTGATTATAAGAGGACCCGGTAAGGATCATCATAAAAATTTCAATAGAAATACTTTTATATATCTCATATATTCTTTAAACACTCCCATTCTCGCACGAACAACATAGATAGATGTAGCCACTCCACTACAACAGCCAACAAAGGAGCTGAGGAAGAACCAAAAGAGGGTTCATAAGGAGGATTCTGAAAAAAGGATCGGACGAAGAGAAAGGCACTAGAGAGATCGTTAACGAACCTTATCCTATCAGGAACAAATTAGAGAGCACCTTATGCGTCATACTAATAACTAATAAACAAATATAACTAGTGAATTAGTGATTATACTACTCATACTAGATGTAAGGCCTATTGCCTTGTTCGTAATAACAAATACTAGTAAACCAAGCCACAGGATTTCATCAAAAGTGGTCATTATTAGAAATTCATAAGTTTATTTTATATAGACCTCTATTATGAATTGTTTGCAAAACTCTATAAAAGTCAGAACATGATACGCACAGAACTCAGATAACATAGTTCAATCGCACACGGCTTATAACCACTACTAAAGACTTACCCCACATCATCATTTAAAACCTTATAACAGAAAGATGTCGCCTCGTAGATATATCAGGTGTAACAACAACACGTCAACAAATCCACCACCGCCTCCACCACCATAGTACGATGTTGCTATCTTTCAGGCTGCCGTAACAGCCGCAGTAACGGCCGCAATGACTCATATCCACGCAAGTGGTACCAGTGGGGCAGGTAGTGGTGCAAACAATTCGAACCACGAAGAAAGCCACAGACACCCAAGGGAGTGTTCGTACAAGGACTTCATGAACTGCAAACCCAAATCCTTTAATGGAAGCAGGGGAGTCATTACTCTAATGCAATGGTTCGAGAAAACAGAGTCGATCTTTGAAATATGCGCGTGCCCGGAAGGGAGCAAAGTGAAGTTTGATGCATGTACTTTCTCTGACAGGGCCCTTACATGGTGGAATGGTCATGTCAAGTCAATAACCCTTACAGTGGCTAATTCAATGGGCTAGGAGAACCTAAAAGCGCTGATGATAGAAGAGTACTGCCCGAGGGGTGAAGTACAAAAGTTGGAACAAGAGCTTTGGAGCCTTGCCATGACGGACTCTGATATAGTGGCCTACACTAATAGATTTAGTGACCTAGCAGCACTATGCCCCGGGATGGTCACCCCGAAAAGTAAGAAAGTGGAAATGTACATTAGGGGACTCTCTCCTCGGATCCAAGGAAATGTGATAGCTGCAAATCCACTTACTTTCGACAGTGCCAAGCGCCTGGCACAGACACTCGTGGACCATGGAGTCCGCCAAGGTGTGATGGCCTCCATTCCTGAGCCAACCAAAGGGAGTGACTATAAGCGAAAGTATTGGAGTAAGAAAAAGGGACAGCCAACTCAAGAGCCCTCGAAGAAACAACAAATTGTTGTTGTTCATGCTGCCACAACATCTGCCATACCAACACCAGTGAGACAATATGCTGGGATTCGCCTAAAGTGCAATAAATGTAACTTCCATCATTATGGAGCCTGCCGAGAGTTGCACTGTAAAAATTGCAACAAGAAGGGGCACACTACCCGTTTCTATAGGGCACCGGCACAACCAGTCTCCCAGGTTCTCAGTGTTGGTGTAAGTCAGGTATGTTACGGATGTGGTGAAACAGGACACTCCAAGAGAGATTGTCCAAAAGCAAGGAACTTTGGCGGGGATGGAGGAGTGCTGATGATCACTGCATGAATAAAATATTTAAAGCCTAAATTTTTAATAAATAATTATAAATTACTCTCTCGTCCGAACAAAACACATCATTCATATAAAAACTTAGGATCCTTGCAGGTGAGCTATGATGGCTTAGTGTATACATTAGGGTCAAAACACATTATTCATATCTTCTTTGCAAAGCATGATTAAACTTAATGTACACCATGTCATTTAATCTACTTTGTGCTAATCTGTTCCTTTTGTTTTAATGAAGTTGCTGAAAGACACTCCAGTTCCTCTCGCAACCCGTAGCACTACAGGTTAAGCTAAGAACTCGGATAGCAAATTTATGTAACTCTGGTGCCAACGCTCCATATGTAGACCACCAGTCAGCTGTTAACAGAAAAAAAAATCAGCTGTTAACAGGAAAAAAATCAGGTAACAAAAAAAAATCAGGGACCAATCCACTATTTTTTATTACCTGTAGCTTTTTTGTCTCTTTGTCTTGTGGCCATCGGATTGCCAAAAAGAACTTGGGCATTTTGATACAAGTCTAGTTGTTCCCCAATCTTATCTTGAGTGCTCAAATCAGGTACCAACTTTTGAATGGTTGCATACAATCCATTTATAACCTCAACACACATTGCATTCTCGGGATTTTTGTAATACAATTTTGGATTTAAGAAAAACCCAGCTGCATGTAACGGTTTATGGAGTTGGCAACCCCACCTTGCATCAATATACTCAAAAGCTTTTTTATAATGTTCTTCTTTATGCAAAAAACTAGCAGTGATAGTCTCTTTAGCCCTATCCATGGACTCATAGATGTATCCCATGGCTGGCTTTTTGTCTCCATCTACCATTCTAAGAGCCTTAACAAGAGTCCAGACAACTTTAAAGCATAGACTATATTTCTCCAAAACCTTTCTTGCAAAAAAGTTGATGTTAGTCTCTTCCCCGCAGCATCTTTTGACCACTTGGTATTGTTCCACTCTGTAGACGTGATCCTCTTCCGTAAATTATTTTTTTGTTTATGCATTTGGGAGAGAGTAATGAATGATGTTGCAAATCTCGTGATTGCAGGCCTATGTAGGTTTCTCTTATTTGTAAACCTCCTCATCATGTTGACAATGCCAACATGGTTATAAAAATAACCATTGCAGAACATATCTCCCTTCAAAGTATTTCGCACCTTTGGGATCTTTCCAATATCTTCCAACATCAGATCGATACAGTGAGCAGCACAAGGAGTCCAGTATAAATGTGGTCTTGTTGCCTAGAACATTGATCCTAAAAAGAGTTTTGAGAGAAATATGAAAGAATAAGACAAGTGTGCTCAAAACAGTAACTAACAGGTAAAAGAGTTACTAAGACTTAGTGACTTACCAACTTTAACATAGTTAGATGCATTGTCTTTCACCACTTGCACTACATTCTCCTCTCCTATCTCTTCCACCATATCATCGAGCATTTTAAACAATGTGTTTGCATCTTTTTTGATTTCTGAGACATCCAAGGACTTTAAAAAGACTGAACCTTTAGGAGAATTCACTAAAAAGTTCACAATATTTTTCTGAACAGTTGAATCACGCCATCCATCTGATAGAATCGAGCAACCTTTTACTGCCCATTCTTGCTTGTAATCTTTCAACACTTTTTGGGTGGATTCCACTTCATTTTTTAAGTAGAGGAACTCTAAGCTCATACATACATGGTTGGAGGTTTGAATCCCGGGCCAAATTGTGCAACAGATTCCATTGCAATATGAAAGCTATCATAAGAGGCTGCATTAAAAGGTAGCCCTACATCATAAAACCAACGACCTATTTCCTTACAAGCCTTGTCCCTAAGGTCTTTTCGACATACTTCGTTAATTGTTTGGTGTTTTCCACATTTTCTACCTTTGAGTTTGTCTTCTGGTTTATTGGCATAAAACTTGTCTAGATGACCCTTTTGTCTTGGTTTTTTAGGTGGAGGCTTGCTACTTCCTTGTCCCACGTCATCATCATCTTCATCATAGTCATCAAGTGCCACTACATTTGAATGGTCAGTAGTTCTTGCACTTTTTTCTGCTTCTTTCTGGATCATATAGTTCTTCACTTCTTCTCGCACATGCTCTGGACACTTTGGGCATCTTTTACAATTTTTGAAACCTCCGACTAAATGTTGTTTTAGTCGGTATACTCCTATAGAAGTTGACTTTGCACAAAATTTGCAAGTAAACTTGTGCCTATTTGTTGGGTCAGCTATACCATATCTCCTGCTTGGATCCATTGCATCTTTAGTGTCAACAATAGGATTGTTGGTGTCCATAGTATCAGTGGAATGGGAAGAAGGGATGATAAGAAAAGACTGAACAATGGAAGCAAAAGAATATAGAGAACGAGGGAAGAAAATTGCATGGATTGATAGAGAATGAGGGAAGAAGATACATGGATTTATAGTGATTGTCGAGACCTGTTGGAATACCCAGAAGTAATGCGGAGTCGGCATCGATGTATGTGAAGCGTGAATTGAACTAAACGACACATATATGATTACAGTTAAAAAGCAATAACAGAATTAATAGGTATATGGTAGAATTGAGCCCAATACCCAAGGGTCGATACATTAATCCCTAAAGGTGAGCCCTTTGGCGCCTCACAAAGAATCGTCGATTCACAGCAAGATTCGATGTCTCCTGTACACTACCTCGCCTTGGAGGTTGGAGGCGTTTCCATTGCCGCCTAGCGCCTCCTAGCGCCTTAGGCGCGATTTTTAAAACACAGGCAACAACATGCGGTTCGTCGAAAAAAAAAAAGAAACCCATAAGAAACCTTTGTTTACTGATAAGCGACATCTACTTTGTTGATCGATCATTAACGATGACGGATATGAAACAGTAACAATACAGATGAGAGGAACAATATTATGTTATGATATGGTAGGAGGCGACTTTGTTGGCGAGATAAACAAAAAGCACATGAAAAAGGAACATAGTTAAAATAACAATCTTACTACACCATGATGTTTGGGAATTTAATCCATTTTGGTATAGGTATTTTTTTCTTTGAATGACATTTCCATGATATTTCAGGGGGGATTTAATTTATTCCGGCATAGATAATTCCTTTTTTTTTTCTATTTTTCATGATATTTTAGGGGAATTTAGTTCTTTCTTTTCTTCTGACCAAACATGGGTTTTCATTAAATTTAAATTCCAATTCCAATTCCATCAAAATTCACAAAATGAGTGAATTAATTAAAGTGTTGAGATCGTTATTTGGAAAGAAACTATTGTGTTTTAAGTTGGCAACAAACGTATTTTATGTTTTAAAATGCTAACTAACTCATGTTTTCGATATCTTTACATGTTATTGTTATCATAGGTTGAGTATGTCATATTATTTCTAATTTTACATTTTGGCCCAAATTTTAATTTTTGTTACAAATTTTGTGTGAACATTTTCACAAATTTAGTTTAATATACAGATATGTTTCTCTAGAACTTTTTTAAGACTTTTTTTTATAAATTTTTACAACTTTTTTTAGATTTCTTTTTCTTACTTTTTATAGGTTTTTTTAAAATTCTTTTACAACATGTTTTAAGCTGTTTTTACTATTTTTTTCACATTTTCATACAAAAAAATTTATAACCTTCATACAACTCTTTTTAAACTAATTTTATAATATTTTAAAATTGTTTCATAGAATTTTTTATAACGTTTAAAAATAATTTCATTAAAGATAAGTCGTATGCAAGTGTAAATAAAGTTTAAAAAAATATAAGCAAGTTTAAAATGTTGTATTGATTGTTTGCTATGAATCGTTGTATGAACATAAGTCGTTGTAAAAAAAGTTTCAATACAACGTTTTAACCTTATTCACACTTTCATACGACTTATCTTTGACAAAAGTAATTTTTAAATGTTATTAAAAGGTTCAAAAAGTTAAATAAATCTATGAAACGTTTTAAAAATATTATAAAAAAAGTTTACAAAGAATTGTATGAAGGTTATAAAAAAAAAGTTGTATGATATGTAAAAGTAAAATTCAAAGAGATAACATGCAAGTACAAAAAGTTTAATAGCTGCCACCCACCACCTCATGTTTTAATTTCAATTCAGGTTAGGTCTTAATTGAAGGTTTCAAGTTTCAAGTTAGGGCTTAATTTCGGTTTCATTTTTTTATACAATTTGATTTCGATCAAGTTTGATTCAAAAAGAAACAAAACTGGTGAATATTTCAGGTTTCGGTGTGGCGGTTGTAGATTTTTGTATTTTTCTAGAAAATTTGGAATAATTTAGATTGTTAGTGATGGTCGACTACAATGGTGTTGGTGACCGCAGTGGTCGACGACAATGTTGGTTGTAGTCTATAGTAGTGGTGGTTGAGGGTAAAAACCAAATATCTAATTAAACATATTCTTTTACTATATTAATAATAAATGCACAAGAAATAAATAAAAAAAATTAGACAAGAACAATATATTCTTTTTAAGTCTATAAGGGATGAAAAACACAATAAAAAGAAGAAAAAAAAAACAATCATGCAACTTTAACCAAACCACATAGACAATTTCGATAATTTACTCTTATCTATTTTTATGTTATACGACTTCTCTTCATAGAATTCTCATTTTTTAAGTATTAGTCACTATTTTGAAAAAAAAAAAAATAGTTGACATTTTATATTTTAAAATAAATAAAAAGAAGATAAAATATTATGACCGCAATGTTTTTCATTTTTTGATATTTTTGTTATTTTGAAAGTTTTGACAATTAGATTTTAACAACATAAGATTCTATAAAATATATTAGATTTATGTTAAAAAAAATATAACTAAATAGATTAACTGGTCAAAAAAGAATAAAAATTTAGATATAACTAGGACATAAAATGAAATGTTATTAATTTTAAGAAGCCAAAATTGATAAAAACATGTTAAGGGATATGTGGTGTTAATGAGAGGTGCACTGATGTGGACTCTGGAGTGGGGTAAGGTGCCTCCTACTTTTTTTTCCTCGCCACCGTTTTCTTTTTTCCTTTGTAGTTTTACAATACAAAAAATGATAAAAAGCTATCTTAAGTTTTTAAATTGTAAAAAGTTTTGGTAAAACTATAGCAAAATGGATAGGACATGTGGTTAGATATCTTTATCAAAATCAACAGCTTCGGTGCATCTCAACATTATATTTTTTTTCTTCGGTTGCAAATAGAACTTACTTGAATTCCTCACAAGTGAATACAAGATTCCATCCCCAAACTCATAAAATTCCATTACAAACATTTCCTTCTTGTTATACAACACTCAAAAATACCTTTTTATTTTTCAAAAAAACTATAAATATATATAATTGAATTTTTTAACTAAAAATTAGTTTTAAATTTAAGAAAAAAGTGCATTTCCATCCTCTTGCTTATAATTTACTTTCCACTTTAAAAGACTACTAAAAGGGGGAATTTAAATATATTATATATGCAATTATCAATCAAATTCAAAGCTAACCTGAAATATCAACTTACCAAATGTGAAGTTGTAACCAGGCATTACTGACTTTACTGATTTGGACGGAGTTGGAATTCAAAATTCCATTCCAGGACAGGACGTATTTGGAATTCAATTCTGTGGGAATCTTTTAAATTCCATGTTGGATAGATTTCACAATTCCTAATTCTTAATGAGGGTGGAGAGTTGTTTAAAGGACATATTTTATTCAATATTCATTCAAGAAACATTCTACGAACCAAATCACATAAATAAGGATACTGAGAAATCCAAAGTAGGTATGAGGGGCAATCTTGTCATCACATTACTATCTGCAGATGATAGCATAGTTTTGCTAAGGTGATAAATGTTACTAGTTCTATAAATGTATAATCATTATGTTTTAAAGAAATTATTAAGTCCCGTTTGTTAAGATTAAGATAAGAATACTATCTTTATATATACTGGGATGTCAATTTAACAAATATCAGAGTGTTTGTTTTACAAACAGAAAAAAGAAATTATTATTATTATTATTATTATTATTATTATTATTTATTACCTGCTAGAGAGTTAAGTTGAGTCTTTTCCTCCAAGTGTCTGAATTATAGCTTCTAGAAGTTTAATCTCGTTATCCCGTTTCAAAATCTCATCTTGTTTTGCTCTTAATTCTTCCATGTGCAATTCAAACACTTCTGCATACAAGAAACATAATGGAAATGTTAATCACAGCATTTAAAGAATGGCAAAATGAAAAAACTATCAAAGCCCAATGAAACTAATCATATTTATTTAGGATCATCTAAAATAATTTACTTGTGGTATTCTCAAGCTCCTTGGTGATTTCTTGTGCTCTTAACTCAGCAGCCTTTTGGCCTGCTTCAGCATGTCGTTTTTCTGTCCGAGCACGAGCTGCAGCTGAAATGGCAGCATCCAACTCTCTTTCTAAAGTCTCTACCCTTTGTTCAAGAACCTGCAGTAAAACAGCTATCTTATGGCATCATCAATTGCAAAAATACCCAAAGTAAAACAGCGCACTTATTGTGTTATGTTATATGTCTTTTATGGTTATCCGACTTTTGAAGATGATATCTTCAATTGAAAAGAAGAAAGAGAGACGATGTTATGTTACTAACAGTAACAGAGCCCCAATTCAAGCCAAGCATGCATTGCACACCAAATTAGGTCAATTAGACTTGTATAAAAGAGCATACCATGGGATTTAAATTGATTGAACGAATCAAATTCAGTGAAAAGTATATCATCACATCAAAAACAAACTTCAAACAGCTCAACGACAATCACATATGCGGTTTAATCGACGGAATTCGGCTGAATTTTATCAAAAGCATAACAATCAGATGATTCAATTATGCATCGGCAGACCATATATGCAGTTCATTTCAAAATTGACAAGCAAGTTATTCAGGAAGTTATTGTGATTTGCCAACAAATTATGCAAGAATACAAAAAATAAACCTTGATAGTACGGGCTTGATCGGAGATTAAGGAGGCTTTGTTAAAAGTATCTTCATCGACGTAGACAGCTTTCTTGATGAGTAAGTTCTCGAGGGAATCAAGATTGTTAGATATCTCGGATAGATTGGCGATCGCAGCGCTCCATCTCTCGTTTCCTCTCTCCTCCATTAATACGTCCCTCCGTTCTCTTTGACGCTCTTCCTCTTTGTACACATATGCCGATTTCTTCTCGCATCCTTTTCTTTTTTAATTTTGTGATTTATCCCTTTAATACAAGCAATTTAGGGGATTTAAACTTGATAAATGCCCCTCTAAATTCTTATACAAGCAATTTAGGGGACTTAAACATTATAAAATATCGCTTTAATACAAGCAATTTAGGAGGATTTAAACATGATAAAAAAATTAATTTTATAAGATTGTGTCATTTTCACCGTTTATTTCATCATATTTCAAAGTGTTGAGCAAATCATTAAATTCTATAATTTATTCATCTATTTTAGATTTGAATCTTTGTCTGGTACTCCCTTTAAATCATTTTGTTGAGAAAACATTTGATAACTTTTTTCTAAATATTTTATTGTTTTTGTCATTGCCTACTTTCAGGTCTTTCAATACGTCAACTCATGCATGGCCAACGCCCTCTCTTCCTCTGGGGTCCAATTTATATTCGGGACATTCTCTTTTCTTTTAGGCTTCACTTTAAATTCTTGAACATTAGGCTTGGGCTATGATTAGAATTTTGTTTAAGGAACATCTTTAAAATGGGCGAACTTTGGTTAGGATTAGGATTGGAATTGGGATTGGAAATGGAATTAGTGTGGATACGTAATATGGTACATACCCATACTAGGATAATGGAACATCGGTGGTGAATAGATTGGACAATCTCTTTGAGGGTAATAAAAAATGAAGAGTTTGGTTGTTTCTTATTGATTTTTTTTTTATTTGTTATTTGGAAAGTTACATGAAGACATATTCAAGTCAAGAATAAAGTGAAATAATAGAATTTTAAGGTTTAAGAATGATAAATTTTGGTATAAGTTTTTGATATATATTATGGAGAAAATGTTGGTAAATTTTTAAATTTTGAATGTAAAAAACGGTAATATATATATATATATATATATATATATATATATATATATATATATATATATATATATATATATCTATATATATATATATACTGCCTAATAATTAAAAATAACTTATGCCACATGTTATTTTTCTAAAGTATTAGTTCAAAATTTTATCTTTTATTCACATGTTAATACGTTACAACCTCATATATTTTTCTCTAATATTCATTTTTTAAATTCAAATTAATCAAAATATGTATTAAATTTGATATTTGAATTAGGTTATTTGAGATTTCCTACTATATATACAAAATCCAACGTGATTTCCTGATATATATAAAAACCACCTATACAACTATTTAGAATATTTATTTATTATATATCTAAAATTTATAAACTTTATTTTATTGACATATATTATGAGAAAATATAAATAATCTCAAATCTATTTTAATAAACAATTTTTTTTACCACATGTCGAACTCTCATTAATTTTGTCACATGTAATTTTGTGGCTATAAAATTAATTTTTTTATAAACTCATGGTTTCCACGAGTCTCTAACTTAGTGTGTGTGTGTGTGTATATATATATATATATAAAGAGAGAGAGAGAGAGTGAAAGCTAGGTTCAAATGTTTCTAGCAACTATTGTGTGCATGTATGCATCAATCACAAATTAGTAAATATTAAATAATTAAGTAAATCAAAAAAAAGGTATTTTTGGTTTTTTGTATTTACAATTAATAAGGTCATTTAATTTAATCCTACAATTAAGGAAATAAAATCAGTATTTTAAAACCCTAAAAATAACTTCTTTCGTTCATTTGCATCTACGGAACATTGACTTCTTCCTCCAGCGGCTCTTTCTTCCTCCAACGACTCTCCCCTCCGACGACAGAAACATTCCATCGATGCCTCCTCTGCAGCAACGCCTCCCCCTCCTGTTTTCGATGCCTCCTCTCCAGCAACGCCTCACCCTCCTGTTTGTAGTGATGAACCTTCTCTCATTCTTGTTTTTATTCAGAAAAGTTTAGTGTTTATGTTTCTTTACTGGAATAATTCTTATATCACAGACTTCAAAATTTTCTTCTTTTTTCTGATTTCTATTTTAATTAACGCACCATTTCAATTTTGATCAGGGAGCATTTCTATTGTTTATTTACTTTTAAGTTTTTAATTATTATTTTTCAATGTTGAGCAGTGCATTTCGATCTTTTGAATATTTGACATTTATGATTTGTGACTTAATGTATTTACTATATCAGTAGTATTTTAGAATTGTGTATGTGGTTGTATTCAAAGATTTGTTTATTATTTGGAATAGTATTTTAGTTTTGCACATCAGGTGTTTGATGAATTGTCCAACTCAACCAACATTCTTGAGATTTTGCATAATTTTTATGAAATCTAAATGTTGGATGAAATGCCTCTATATAAGACTCCATCTTTTTTCATTTCAGTTTTAGGATTACATGATTGTATTGCATATGTTATACAAATGTTGGTTTTTAACATTTTTTTTATGATTTATTTGTCTATTTATAAGGATTATGGTCTTTGTTGATACACACCTAGCACCCACATTATTATTCTAACTTCATTAATTGTTTTAGATGAATTTTGGCTTGTTTGATGATAATGCCTAACAAGTGTTTGTTGAAATGTCTGAAAGAGAATCTGAAAAATTTAACTTTGTGGTATGCATTTTGTCAGAATTACTAGCAACACATGTTTTATGTAATTGTTTAAAAAGGTAATTAATTTGTCTGTGTATTATTTTGGTTAAATTAGTGATTTTGAATTTCAATTTCTATTGTCCCTCGTTATTGTATATTTGGATTCTAAAATTATATTAGCAATAAATACGATACTTTTGAATGTATTCTATGTATTCTGTCATAATGTATTGTGCCAGATTAAAATCTATGTATTCTGCCAGAATGTACTCTATGTATTCTGTCATATTCTATGTATTCTACCAGAATATATAAAGTGATAGTTAATTGCAAGTAACATGTTTTTAACAATTATTAGTTTTTGTTGTATTTGTAATAGGAATGGCTTGAAGAATGCGTTAAAGACCTAATAAGGATAACTTGAAGAATGAATAAATTTTGATCATACTCACAATTTAAGAATGTTGTTATTTTATAAGAATTTTATTCATTTTTGCCACAAAATTTTGTTATTTTAGACTTTGGACACAAATAATCTTAAACTTTAGCCATAAACTTTCTTATTTTAGAGTTTAACTACAAAAGTTTCTTATTTTGGCATATTTTATCCTTAAACTTCTGTATGTTCGCACTTTTCACCCTTTACTTTGTCGAATGCCACTTTCCACTCCTACTTCGTAAAATGTCATTTTTACTCCCTCAAATTTGAACACCGACATTTTTCATCTTTTTACATTTCGTATATTCGTATGTTTGTAGGTTTCACATGTTAATCCCTACGTAGAAAATAAATTACAAGAACGGTCGTTGTAATTTACAAGGATGGTGCATATGTTTTAAAATTACATAAATGCCCCTTTTCTAATAACAAATTTACAAAAGTGTGCTTTGGTCCCTACATAGAAAATGAATTACAAAAATGGTCCCTGTGAGTTTTTTTTTCAAGAACAGTCCCAGTAATTTTGTAAGTAAAACCTTTCCTACGTCCCCACGAAACGGAAGAGGACATTTTTTAGTTGGTAAATAAGAAAGAGAAAAATGGTTTAAAAAGAAGAGAGAGCGAGAGGGAGAGAGGTAAGAAAAAGCCGACTGCCAACCACAAGGACCAAAACTGTTCTAAATTTTCCAAAACTTGGACTAAAACTGTGAAAAAGTGATAACCACATGGACCAAATCTGTAAATTACTCGAAGTTTTTATCCAAACTTCTTGGCAGCCGCTTCAGACAGTTGTACGGGAGAGCCCACGCTTCGGACGATTGTACAGGTCTCAATCAAAACCACACCGCCTTCCTTGCGATATGAAAAATAACGAAACGGGGAGTGCTGTGTTTTGAACAACGATCCCACCACGCACATGGAGGCGCAACCCTCTCGTAAGCGACCGCTCTCAGACAACGACGACGGTGGAGATGCTGATGAAGTCAACCGAAAACCTCCGTAAGTCACTTTCACCTTTCTCTTATCTGCTTCTAAGATATATATTTATTATTGTTAGGGTTTGCGTTCGACTGAATTTGACCTTCCGTTTGAGTTAATCCAGTTGTTCAAGCTTCCTTAGTTTTTCAATTTATTCTCTCACAAATCGATAGAATGAACGAAGTTAAATTGGACTGGTGGTTTTCGTCGTTTTTTTAAGGAAAACTCTTCAATCCTAGCTACATTGAGATGTTTACATAAATTATGTTAGTAAGTTTTGCTGCGCAAATTCCCTTGAGTTTTTCTCTCTGAGTTGCAAAGGAAAAGCATGAGAGATTATTAGAAAACTGATTGGTTCTTGTATTGACCTAAGGGATGTTTCATTGGGGCTATATTTATTTTATGTATTTGCAGGCAAAAGAAGGTGAGGTTTCCAAAGGGAAAGAAGGTGAAGCCTGGAGATGAAGTCATAGCAGCTGTAAATGTTCCCCAAGTTGCTGAAGATGAACCTACTGAGCTGAAAGATACCCAGCTAGTTGCCAAAGCAAGGTCCAAGAGACGGAATCAGGATAAAATTGGACTCAATAATGATGAAACTGGAGATCTTCTTGATGTTGTAGCAGCTGCTGAAATGCATTATAAGGTATTTTAATCTCCATTTTTCTATATGCTGATTCTTGTTATATTATGTTTATGTTTATTTTTAATTTAATTTCTTTTCACAGGATAACGAGACACTGGAAGATGATGGAGTTCAGCTTGAACCTTTCAACCTTGAACAAGAAAGGAAAGAAGGCTTTTTCGATAAAACAGGAAATTATGTTGAGTATGTTACTAATGACATCAAGGTACAGTATTATTACATGGGGATTCTTGATTGCTTTTAATTTCGACATTTCCCTTTTTACCCTCATTTTAATTGAAGTATCTTTGTAGGATGCTTGGCTTGATAGCATTGATGCTGAACCAAATCTTGCAAAAATACACTCTATGGATACAGATGATGTGGTAGAAGCTGCTGACCTGTCAAGTCAAGATATTGGAAATATCAAGAGACGAATTGCTGATGTGCTTCAACCTGGGGAGACAGTAAGTTTCTTGTTATGTCAAATTGTTCAATTCTCTTTTATTATTTTTCAAACTGATTGATGAAAATAATAAGTATAATATTCTTTTCAGGTGTTGCAAGCTTTAAGAAGGCTGAAAGGAAGTTCTAATAGAAAGGAAAAGATGTCAGCTGAAACAAAAGTTGTGTTTGATCAACTAACTGAAGATGCCATGAAGCTGATGGAGGATGGTGACTACAGTTGAGATAATCTTCCTTCAACATTTTTCTTTATATTTATTATAAATTTGTCAACATTCTGATTTATGTCATAAATATTTCTGCAGATGTGTATGATGAAAAACAGGAGGTCTTTCAGAGGGAAGCAGGTAATTAGCATTTCTTTATAAGTTTAACAATGATTTAAATATCAATAATACAGTATTTCTTATATTCTTAATTATTGGGAATGTTATTAGTGAAACTCTGATTTCATCTTTTTATAATTTCAGACGGATTTGAGAAGCTAGCACGTGCTAGAGGGGAAGGCACCTCTTCTAGTTCAGGAGACAAGCAACCTAATTCCTCTGGAATGAGTGATTCCGGTCTCAATGGAATACCTTCTGCAGATAATACTGCAAACAATGAAGATGATTCCTTTGACATGTTTGCTGAAGATGATGACAAATCTACTGTTGATCCATCAGCTGGTAAGCAGACATGTAGTTTTTTCGTTTTTTTCATTCAGATGGTTTATTACAATATTGCCCCTCAGTTCTGTTTTCACTTTTTACTTGCAGGCATTGGATCTACAGAAAACGATTATGTATTTGATGAGTCTTCAGGGTATGCATCTCTTTTTGTTTTCCATTCAGATTTATATTTTGTCAAAAAGAAACAGCATCTTATTGTTTCTGTATTTTTATTTTTTAATTTTTTTTACAGTTACTACTACAGCAGCAGTTTAGGATATTATTATGACCCATCTTCAGGACTGTATTGCAGTGCAGCATCTGGACAGTGGTAATATATTTTTATAATGGTCACTATTTTCAACATGATTTAGTATTATTTGAATTATACTGATTTGATTTGGAGATAAAATGTGGTTATATATAAAGTAATGCGTTTGTTTTGTATTTTCCAGGTGCTCGTATAACCAAGAAACTGGTGCCTATGAGGAGTTGCCATCAGGGGAAGGCAATGGAAATGGAATTGCAACATAGTGGAATGGAATTGGAATCACAGGTTTTTTTTATTGATTTCCCCTTTTCTTGTACAAAGTGAAGAGGATATATATTATATATGTAACATATGCATATTCTTAGGCTTCTTTTCTTGTACTTGAAGTGCGACTAGTTTTGGTAATTTAAATCTATAGACACAATCTAACTCATGACTATATGATTTATGGATGTAAAGAGAAAAATGTGATGTGACAAAAAGGGCAGTTGAGTCATATGTGCTATGGTTTTGATGTGGTAATATAATTTCCTGAACAGAAGAATCCAAGGGGTATCAATGTTATTGTTATGTATGTACTAAAATATACGTCCAGTTTGCATTAACATGTGCATGAATCATGAATGGATAGATATTGTCATATTTATCATCGACCTTAAAAGGCACGTGCTTTGTTTCTCTTTTGCGTCTGTATATTGAGCATCCAAATTTTTGGAAGAAAACAAAACAGTTAGAAAAAGCTTCCTTCGTGAATAGATATGAGACATCCATTATCAGCAAAATATGTAGAAACAATGATGATAAAACCATTGGTACAAATACACTTGAAGAGTATTCATCAATTTCAGATGGTATATTATTATTTTGACCAAGACAATATGATATATTATTAGATTGTCTTGAACCCGTAACACCATCTTTAACACCAATGTGGTGCAAAGAGTCTTTGTTCATCTCCATGTCATTAGATCATTTTTTACATCAACAAATATGTTTTTTTTTTTTTAAACTTATTAAGGTTAACAAAAATAATCATTTTATTAATTATTATTTAACAGATACATTCGAGTGTGCAACATTGTTTTAACTTTTTATGCTAAAAAAATAAATTTCTGGCATGTTACCGTAATCAAAATTTTAAATAAATTTGAAACATAAAGATTTAAGCTTATATTTACTATTAGATTATTAAAATTTGGCCTATTAAATTAACTCACAAAACTACAATTTAAAAGACCAAAATTGTGAATTATTGAAGATGAATAGTATAACAAAAAATTGATTCAATGCTACCGAAAATTAAAAGGGTACAAAAAATTAGTGTTAGGGTTGAAAGTGATTGAAAGATAAGGAGATTAAAGTAGGTTAGCACGGTGGAGACGTCGAGTTACCACTTGATTCCACTCCAAGTATATCTCAATCGCAATCTCTATCTCTAATAATTATTAAAAGAAAACATTAAATTCTAAAATAAAGAAATAAGGGCCCTTGATTACAATTCACTCATTTGGTCTCCACCTTTGGATCGTTTTGCTGACATCATCCTAGACCAAAATATGCGCGCGCCTCAGATTGTAACTTCCTTCTTACATTTCATTCCTAGGTTTTCCTCTCCACACAATCAGCCAAGAGCGTATATCGACATCCCCATGAGACTCAATAGATATAATCCCTAATCCCTTCCTTCAATCGATACGCGTAACCCTATCGATTTCATATATACATCAAATCGATTTCATATATACATCGAATCGATCCTATGTGTTCTTCCTCTGCTGTTACAAATTGTCTACATGAACTCATTAAACAACATGTGCTGAAGCTCCACAGTCGGCGCAAACTCAACCATAAACCTGGTCACAAAGTCCGACCAGGTCATAGCCTCAATGGCTGGGGCTCCCAACGTGTCACTGACCGCCTCCCACCAGTCTTTCGCTCTGTCTCTCAAACATCCTGCAGCATACCGGACCTTCGACCCCTCAGGGCAGAAGCTCGTCAACTGTGCAGACTCGATGTATGCAATCCATCTCCTGGCCACGATGGGGTCCTTCATCCCGTGAAAGTCTGACGCACCGCATCCCCTGAAATCCTTGAAGGAGAGCGTGCGAGTCCCTGACTGGCCCAGTTCCATGTCGCTCCTGAATGCCCTGAGGCGATCATCCATCAGCTCAATGATCCCTTCCTTGATCGACCCGAAAATCACCCGGTCGCCTCAAGGATGCCTCTCGTAATCTCGGATGCAATGAACGTTCACAATCCATCATCGACTGACTCGGAACCCGAACCCGAACCAGAACCTGATCCTGACCCAGACCCTGAACCTCCTGCTCCGTGACGTGTCACCACCATTCTGAAACAAAACACATAATTTTCAGGGCCATACATAACCTCGAGAGGTTTCACACACTACAAGTTCCTTGGTTCTATCTCAGCCATCCTTGACTCGAGTACGGATCCTCTGCTTTCAGTAGTACGGGCCCATACTACCTTCCACATCTATCCGTACTTTCCTCAAGGATTGCCTCGACTTCACCAAGTCCTTTCTACTACTATTGCTCTCCATGCTAATCTTATTCTAGGCTTACCCTAAGGTAATCTCCGACCTACTCTCCGCCATCAGCTGCATAAGAAGTCCCTGATATCTTTCCCTAGCTAGCTCACGAATACCATTACATATTACTAAGACCAGATAATTCTTCGAATGATAGGTCTCTCCCTACAACGGTTAGACTCAAACGAGCGCTACGAAGTAGGGCTAAACCTAACCTTCTGAAATTATTTAGTCCTCGTAATATGTAACTTAACATATTCGTTTACTAGTTAGCTAAAGATAACTAGAACTCCTAAAAGCACAAAGCAAGCAACACGCGGGCATTGAGTAACCAAAACCAAGCATATCCTAATCAGGCCATCATATCACTGACAAATCAGTACTAGCATGTAATTCAATAAGCACATATAGCAGGCACATAAGACATCTTCCTAGATCCTTAGACCTAATCTAGCATGAAATTCTCATAATCATATCATAACATGTATGGGTATCTTGGGGAAAACTTACTAGAGCTCGGTCGATTGCACGCATCACACTCCTTGTTCTTTCTCAAAAACCTTAATTTTAAATTTTAGAAAATTTGTATTATTTTTTTTCTTGTAAAAACCTTTCAAACCCTCGATTTGAGTTCAGACACACCCGAGAGTGTGTCCGAATTCCTCAAACCAAGGCTCTGATACCAACTTGTAACATCCCAAAATTCAAGACCAAAAATTTCATTTTTAATGTAATAATTCATAAAACAGATTATTGAAAACATCATCAAGTTATCTCATGTCATAAAAACTCATAAGTCATATGTCCCAAAAACATGTCATAAGGTAATAATGTCAGAGTACGAATCCCAAGAATCTCATATGCGGAAAATCATGTGCGTGATGCGCTGCAGTCATGCCGGCTCCTTTCCCTTCGAAGAAGAGGTACCTGAAACCAAAACTGTAAACCGTAAGCACGAAGCTTAATGAGTTCCCCCATCATACCACATACCATACAATAACATAGTGTCAGGCATATCTAGGTGCCCGACCTGCCCCTTCGGTTTCTTTCAACCGGTAACTACCTAGCATATCTGGGTGCTGGTCTACCCCTTCGGTCTCTTTCAACCGGATACTGCCTAACATATATGGGTGCTGGCCTACCCCTTCGGTCTCTTTCAACCAGATACGGAGACTATTTCACCCCTACTACTACCACATAATACCTTATATATACATATATCATATACTGCCTAGCATATCTGGGTGTTGGCCTACCCCTTCGGTCTCTTTCAACCGGATATCCGGGGACTATTTCACCCCTACCACTACCGCATAATCACATAGCATACTAGCACATAAAGCATAACAGATAGTGGCATACCAGACAATTATCACAAAGACAATCATCTCAACAATAATCACCTACTAGTGGGCCGACATTTGTGCCTTAGAACCACTCCTTGTAAGGCCCATGAGTTAGGGCTAGACGTTTAAGGGATTTAGTTGCAACTATTCATTTTATTTAATAATTAAAAAACATCATTGAATAAGTAAATCGTATATAAATAATAATCCTCCGTACGCGATACGAGTTATACAAATGATAGTTATATATTGCGTACATGTTTTATGTACAAATTATGGGCTTATAATAGTTATATAAAACCTTATTATAAATTTAACGAGTTACGTTTAAAAATAAAAAGATTATTTATGATAAATAATCTTAACGAATGTTGTAACGACCTAAAATCTCACTATATATGTTGTAAGATGTATTTGATCTAAATACATTCAACAATGAACCCAAATATTTAAATGATATTTTTTTGTTACACCTGTTTTTCAACGATAATTATCCATATATATTTTATGACATTAATAATCGGTGATTGACATTAATATATCGTAAAATATAACAATCAAACTAGTTGTTTTATATACGATGGATAAAATAAATAATATATTTATTATGAAATAAAAGTTGATATATGTAAATAAGAGATTTTAGAGTGTTATTACATAATAATATATATAAATATACGTGATGTTTTTATATACAATAAACATATTTAAAGTTAAATTTTAAAAAGTGTACACATATATATTATTGAGGGTCATATATGTAAAATGTAATTTGATAGATCATATGCATACGTGTTAGATTGGATAGTAAACTATCTTTACCTTTCTATTTGCTGTCAAAATTTAGAAGTATGTGAAGTAGGTGTCCAATTTTTAGAATACGTGGCAAGTTCACGCACAATTTCAATTAATTAGGGAGGGTACGTGTTAAATTTTAACATGACTGTCATTTTTGATATAGTACATATTCTTTGAACCTTATTCAAAGATTTTAAGTATAAATAGGAATATGAATCAAAATTTCGATCTAACATCTTCAATGAAACAAATAAATAAATATCATAATGAAGATTTTGAATTATAGAACCAAAGATTAAGGTTTCGGCAAGATAATAAGTTGACAATCAGTGTTGAGGTTGGAGTCACGATAGTAGGTAGTTTCCACTAACTAGTCAGGTGAGTGCATAGTTACTTTCATGAACATGATTTTAATACAAGTATTAATTAAATATTAAATATTTATTGAAAGTTTATATGTCAATTATATGTTTATTGCATGAAATATGTGTTAGATATATATTCGATGATATACAATGTGCGAACCAGTTATGGTTCTATAAGTGTTAAGATGTATATATATGTGATATTATTACGTGATAATAATAATAATAGAAGTATTATTAAAAAAAAGTAAATTAATACCTAAAACTCTGTGTTAAGTATACACTAGTTAGCGTTGTCTAAACGGAGTTGGTATTGAAAATTGATTATAAGCATTGTAGTTTTGCCTAGTGCTGAGATAAGACTTAAAAATTGATGTTTAGTTCAATTAAGTTTGGACATTGGGTAGCCTCTTATAAAGAGTACGTGTGTGCTGAGAATGATGATCGGTAGAGTACGTCC